GGGGATGGAAAGATCGTGTGTCATATCTCCAATGAAGCCAGACTTAATGAAGATTTTACTCTTTATTAGCATTTGCAATTTTTTTTTTAAATATGAAACTCATCTCTACTCTCAAAATAAAGAATTTGCTATTTTATAATAATTAATAATATAAAAAACGGTTTTAAAATAGAATCTCATAACAGATGAAGCCACAAACAATTTTAAAAAGTTTGGCTGGAAAAGTTATACAACTCGTTGTTGGATGTTTCTTTTTTTTTTTTTAATTTTTCATCGATGGTTATTTCAAAACCTAGAATATTCGAAGAATTAAGAGTTTCAATAAATAAATCCGTATAATATTTAAAGAAAATCGGGAAAAGTGAATCATCATGAAAGAATCCCGAGGAATAAATCAGATCTATAACATTTTCTCTAGTTCTTATATAATTCAAATTTTGTCCAATTTTGGTGAAATATATTAACTACGCGATTCGAGAGATCCAATCTAATCAGCCAATTCCACAATACGACTATATTTACGTTATAGAAAGCCTTAGTAAAGCCACAAAACATTCATTTTATTAGAAAGAGAAACCTTCGATATCGAACGAAATACAAATAAGGCATCCACAGTACTCAATCCTAATCTATAGGCAAATTGAAGAAGGAATCTTCTTCAATTTACCTATAGGAAATTCGAGCTTCAGGAACTAAACCGGATTTTATTTTATTATTGAAAAATTTTAAAAATTTTATACAAAACTATAACAACCTGTCTCCTCCAATGTATATATATATATATGCAGTATTTTTGTTTTCTTTCCACCCCGTGGGCACTAAAGCCTTTTTTAGCAAGCCCATTATGGATTCGGCCAAGCCCACAATGAGGTGGCTGGATGGCGAGGGACCATCACGAAATAATCCTGTAGTTTTTCGACCCTTTCCAAATTCGATCAGGGCAGTAGGTTACCACTTTAAGTATAATTAACTCATAAACTGTCAAAATACATTTGTATTTATTAATTTTAAGCCTACTTATTAGTTAGTTTTTTTTTTTTTTTAATTTTTGCTTATTATGACATGTGACAGATTGTCTTAATTTCGAGGGTAGAGATGAATTTTATAAACACCTGTAAATATAAAATCAAGTAAAATCTCATTTTTTGGGACACCATGAAGTGTTGATAATAGATACTGGACTTTTTCACCCCCACTTTATTTTATTATGTAATTTACAGTCTTTAATTAAACTAATTATTCCAAATGCCAATACGCGTTTCGGGCTCGTGCCCCTCATCTTTTGGCTAACAATATTTATTAGTATATAATATTAGCAAAATATCACTTTATAAAGGTTTTAATTTTTAGACATAAGTTTCCTACATTGACTTTAAATTTATTGTTGACGTACAGTACATAAAAACAAACACCATTGTGTATTAAAAAACAGTTAAAAGTTCTTAAAACTACACAAAACCAAATTTTTCAATAAAAATCTTACATACCTTGGTACAATTTTTACGTACAGTACAAAGTTTAGCATTCTGCCATTTATCCTACAAACTGCACTTCAACGTTAAATAATTTACATATACGTGTCTACACATTTATAATTTGCATAGTAATTTATTTTATTTTATAATAATTTTATCCAATTATCATTTATTTTAATACTTAATTTTTAAGTTTATTATTAGATCTATTTTCATGTACTGTATGTACAGTACTGTACATGGAGTATACAATGTTTGTTATTTCAGTTATATCGTTTTTTCTTATCTTCCGATTTTTGATTAATCACTCGGTTTTGTAATTTTTTTTATAAGTAGGGATTAATTTTATATTAAACCTACCAAATATTGTACTTAATTCTTCAAAAAGTCTTCAAATGTATGTAAAGGAACTCTGAAAGTAATTTTTTAAATAAAAATTGCACCAAGGTTGTACATAAGAAAATAAAGTGAATGTGAAAAAGTCTAGTATTAACACTTTATGGTGTCTCATAAAATAATTTAAAGAAGGACACGGTTTCAACACAGAGAAGTAAAATCTTCATTAAGCCCAACTCCAAGCGAGATATGATAAGTGACCACTCTCACTCTCTATCTCCTTTCCCTTTGACCTTTCATCACTAAAATTTAATAGCATCAATGCCCCTTACATACAAGCTACCATGCCAAATTTCGTTTCTTAATCTTTACCCCATCCTGAGATATTAAACGTAATAGACGCCAACACAAATACATATCCAAGGAACTTTTTTGCCTTTTTTGGATTCAGGTGATATCAAAACGTAAAGATTTACAAAAAACTCGGAGGGTCAAATTTGACACGATTCCAATACTTTTCCTTCTTATATATATATCTAACAGCCACGAATTTAAAAGTAAATGTTTGTTCTTATCGACTACATTAAATTGAGTAAACAGTGCAAATAACAAACGGTCTTAATTTTCCAGGTTAAAATTAATAAACATGCACAGTTACAACGAAAAATTGACAGAAAAAGATGCCAGAGAAGCTACCTGAGACAAAATTTTGATGATGAATTTTGTTTTGTGAGAATTCCGAACCGTAATCCAACTCAAAGTTATGAGAAAAAATGGTTATTTTTTTTAAATTGCTCGTACGAAGTATGTACTGAAAGAAATCTATTTCTTCTTTATCTTCTCCTTTTCCCATGTTTATATGGGGTAGATGTTTCCATCTCTAATATGTTTCCTCCATTTCTTCCTATCAAGGGCGTCTTCTCTCTTAATTCCTCTCTGATTCAAGTCTTCCTCCACCTTATCTTTCCAACGCAGCCTTGGTCTTCTTCTTTTCCTCCTTCCTTTCACTACCAGTTTTCCGACCCTCTTTCCAACATAATTTTCACTATTTCGCTCTACGTGACCAAACTACCTCAACTTGCATTCTTGCATCTTCCTGTTTAAGGGATCCACCTTAACAGAACCTCAAATAAACTCATTCCTTATTCTATCCTTCCTTGACACACGTCCACGTTAAATAATTTGCATAAACGCGTGAAATATTCAAGTTGCACACTGAAAGAAATACAACTTGAGTATTCCAAAACAAAGGTGTTAGATAGATGTCCGGCACGACTCAAAAGAACATATGTCAAAGGAAAAGTATGATGTACAGGGGCAAACAATTACTAATTTGAGATGGAGAGCATATATTCTAAATTAAATAAATTAAAAATATGATTAAAAATTGCAATCAGGCATTCAGTTTTTAATAATTAATAAATAATTACTCGTATAATTTTGTTTTTCTGTAATTTTTTTTTTTTTTGGAGTCATAAAAAAATTTATCATAATAAACCCGAATGTGTGTGTAATTTTATTCTACAAATTCCTTAACCGAAATATGAATAATATCCCAGAAAAAAATTCTGAAAGAATAATTTTAACAACTCAGTCCTAGTCTCCGGTTCACGTAATCATAATAGTTTTGAAAGTCATCCTTACATTACCGTTCGAAAACATAAATTAGAACATTCCAGCAAATGCAACATTCATTTGCTTGAATTTTTACGCTTTTTTTGTCTTTAATAACATGCTTTATGCACCTTCTAATAATCCAATAAATAAATACAGTCATCATTATTGTTGCTTGTGTTTAAAATAGTTTTCAGCAAGAAACAGATTAAGATAAAGTTTGGAAATTTTTTTTTAATACGAATTTTCTGGTAAACAATTCAGTAGAAAGTACTTAGTCATCTAATGCTAACATTTCTCCATGATTTAAAATTATATTGCTGATATTTTAAAAACTATAGGCCTAAAAGCAGTATGCGATTAGGATTAGGAATTGATAAAGAGCTCGAACTTCGAATAAACCACAGATTTATTTTCTTAAATCATTGAACATTCACTTAGCTATTTTCAATATATGTTAATAATTTATTCTACTTTGTTTCTTAATAAAATGGAGCACATAAAATGTGGCCTAAGACATATATTTGTTCTTGAAACATATACGGGGTGATCGTGTTTAAAGTATTCCTATTCAAGTTATTTAGCACACCAAATGCAACCAGATTATTTAGTATAGTGACATTTCAAGACATGAAAAGACACCAGCGTAAAAAAAAAATATTAGTACTAAAACTCACCACTACGGCACTTTTGGTGCTGCAAGTGATAAACATTCTATTTGTATACAAACTTAGTGACGCAGGGGATATTGCTCCCCACTCTAAAGGTGTAAAATCTGAAGTTTATTTTTTTTTTATAGATTATAAAATTATAAATTTTAAAGGACTAAATCATTATTAATTAAATTTAAGCAAGAAAAAAAAAATAATTTCTGTCTGATGCAAGACTACTAAAATACTTTGCAAAACAATGGTATTATACACAATATCAATTAATATTATTATTATGCGGTTAATTAATTAATCAACTTAATAGAAAATAAAGCAGAGGAATTAACAAAGCAGTGTAAATAAAAAATACTGTGTATATATATATATATATTTAGGAATTGTTACTTTAGTGACATTCTTCTAACTTTAGTAAATTCACACTAAATAATACAGTTAAACTATTGGAACAAAATATTCATTTAGTACGTGTATATATTATTTAAAAATAAAAAAAATAGCTTGAAAATTTTGCAAAATCATTTTTAATTTTCTTTAAAAATAGCAAGCTAAGACAAACGACATAAATTTCCTATTTGTTCCGAATAATGCATACTATTTAACGTCAATCGTCCTTCAAAAAAATAAAATTATTAAAAGTATAAAGATCAAATTATTTTTGTTAATTAATTATATTTCAATTAAAAATTATTTTAGGTTTATTTATTTCAGATGAGTGTCTTTTTTTTTTTAATACAAAATTAAATGAAGGCTTCGTCATCTTAACTTTCATTTCTGTTTAATTAATAGTTTGCCTTTCTGCATACAATTATGAACAATTAGGACGAAATGGATGGGTTATTTTGCCACTAAAAGATCATCACATTTTCAGTAAAAGATGCAAGTTCTTCTCCAATTTTTTTTTTTTAAATTAGAATTTAATTAGATTTTACAAACGTGTAATCTACTCTCTTGCAATGAGAAGAAGAAATATAATACACGAGACATACGTGTTTTTGGATTCGTCTGAAGTATAAGTATTATAAGTAATTCGTACATTAGAGTTTATACTTTACATTATTTGTTCGTTAATTTAACAACATATGTGTCATTATTAGAAAGAAAACTCATATCTACGCATTGCTATTACTGTAAAAGGACGATAACAATATAAAATGACTTAAACTTTTGCAATGCAATAGCGTACCAAACTCCTTGCATTTTAACAGTTCCAGCATAAACCATACAGAGGAAACGTCACATCTAAACAGGTATTGGCCCGATAAAAGCACGTGATTGAAATAAACAGTTGGCAGGTTTTTCATTCCTCTTCAAGGAAGTTTAGTATCAGTAAGATATCGAAGGTTCTATAGAAAAATGCCCATCGACGAAGATCACAAAGATTTATTTCACGTTGCCGATTATGCAGTATTTGCTGTTATGTTAGCTATATCCGCTTTTATAGGGATATACTACGCATGCAGCGGAAGTAAACAAAAAACTACAGATGAATTTCTTATGGGCGGAAGATCTTTAAGTGTCTTTCCCGTATCCATGTCAATTTTGGCAAGTTTTATGTCGGCCATAACTCTACTGGGAACACCCGCAGAAATTTATCAATACGGAACTCAATACTGGATAATTAATCTGGCTTTTATTATAGTTATGCCAGCAACCGCTTATTGTTACTTACCTGTTTATTATAACCTAAATATTACGAGCGCATACGAGGTAAGTGGTATGAAAAAATTAGGTAAAAAAAATGTAGGAAATTAATCGTGCATGTGATTTACTTAAAGATTTTTACACAGTTTGACACTAGACGAGGTTTTTTTTTTTTTTTTTTTTTTTTAAATAGCAAAAGTTTGAATGCGGTCGAACGTGTTTGAAAAACCGGACCGTCCTTCGCGCCTGTTGAAGTTAAGCTTAAAAACCAGGTCATTTATAGAAATTAACATATTTTTCTTAAATTTAAAAATAGACAAAATGTTTATTTTATCATCCTTTGTTCTATTTAAATTAAAAAAAAAAAACAAAAAAAGAAAATAAAGAAGTATATCGTCAAGAGCGCACTTTTAGGTATTATTAAATATGAAAAGTATTCAGAATATGGACTACAATTTTTGTATGTAATAATTAACTATATTTATCTTATAAGCAGTAAAAATTTTAAATATGAAAAGTTAATCTTATGAAAGTTAATAACCAATAAAAAAAAAAAAAATTAAGATTAGATAATATTTATCTACTCACATTACAAGTAGTACTTGAAGGTGTAATCAAAATGATTGTTTAAATAAATAAAAAATTGGGTAATAGTTACGAATTAATTGGTTAATTTGACTTTTATACCGTCAATTATTTAATTATTTGAATTCAAAAGTTTAATTAATAAAGTGACATCGTCATCAGTTCAAATTTCACTTATTTGTAGTGTATTTTGTATTACAAAAGCAAGCTTAAAGGTTAATTAATTTTTTAATTAAAGTTTACACTAATTTATTTCTTTTTTTATTTTCATAATTGATGTTTGAATATTATTTCGAATTATCGTAGTTTTTGTATTATTAAAAACATAATTTAATTTTTTAAATAAAAGACTAATTTGGGATCTCCTGTTAGTGGATGTCTCATGCAATTGTCCTATAGGATAACGTGCCACTACTACTAGTGTCAAATTGATCTTATATTAATAATTATACAAAATATTGTCTGATACTACCGATTCTATATAAAAATATAAGTAAATGTAGTAACTGAATTTACAAGATTAAGTAGTTAAATGTTTTATATACAGTCGACCCCCTCCTAAATTTGTAAATGTAATTCTTCTATTTGAATACATCCATTTAGTATCTGGAACTGAGATTCAATCGTTTGATAAGAACGTTAGGCTCTTCGGTATTTACCATTCACATGGTAAGATTTAAAATTTTTATTAATTTTTTTTAGTTATATCTAGATTAATCGTAAAATTTTTATTCGTTACACGATTTTGTATTATTTTAAAAATTAATTTGTTCATTATAGATCATGTATATGCCTATTGTATTGTATGCTCCGGCACTCGCTCTCTCCGAAGGTAAGTAATGAATAAATATCTCGAATATTAAATTTTTGTATACAATTGTACATTTTAAATATTCATATTAATCGATTGGAATGTTTTGTTTAATAATGCGTATAACGATTTCTTTTAGTTACTGGTCTGAATTTATGGGTCTCTGTGCTTTCAATCGGGATAGTCTGTACTTTCTACACTAGTATTGTATGTAATGTTTTCTGTATATACAAAATTATATTCTAGAAATGTATAAAATGTATTATTTTTTTAGGGTGGAATGAAAGCTGTTGTGTGGACTGATTTATTTCAGACTTTATTAATGTACGCAGCCATGTTTGTAGTGGTCTTTAAAGGCATTGCAGATCTGGGAGGATCTGATATTGTTTGGAGGCGTAATTTGGACGGAAAACGAATCGAATTTTTCAAGTAATTAGAACTGCTAACTAGTAAAATCTTCATTAAGTCCGACCTCATTCGAGATATGATACATGACCATCCTCTAGCTGTTCATTCCCTCGATCTCTCACCACCAAATTTAATCGCATCAATGCCCATTATACTCAATACTCAAGTTACAATACCAAAAATTTTATTTAATTTTCATCCCATTATTAAACAATATTAAACAAAATAGACACCAACACACACGGAATTTTTTTATATTATTATTTTTTGTCTTTTGGGGTTTAGGAATGGAATGGATTTAATTAAAGAGAGATATTTATTCTATCAACAGAAATGTACTATAATAACTCCCGAAATATAAATTGTTAATGCAGAATTAAATGTAATTTCTTTATAAGTTTGAAAAGGAGAAGCCATGAAATATATAAGTACATCAAAGGGAAAATACATGCATGCATAAAAACGATAAATCACATTCAATGACTTTATTCTGTATAGAAAGGGTTAACTATTGGAGCATTTAACTATTAAAAAAGCATTTTAACAGTTGATGGAGATTTTAAAATGTTGATATATTTCAGTTTTGAATTGGACCCAACAGTCAGACACACGTTCTGGAGTTTATTTTTCGGAGGATATTTCACTTGGATGGGAAATTATGCAGCCAATCAAGCTATTGTCCAGAGATATCTCACTTTGCCTTCCCTCAATGCAGCCAGACGGTATATTTTTGTTTTTTAAATTAAAAATCTTTAAAAAAACAATCGTAAGTGCAGAATTTAATTTTTAGATGCTTGTGGATCAATGTTCCCGGGTTGATCATCCTCATAACCATCACTACTTTAGCCGGATTAGTGATATATGCACTCTATTATGATTGCGATCCCATTCAAACTAATTATGTTGGTGCAACAGATCAGGTATAATTTATGCAAATAATAAAAAAAAAAATTATAAAAATAATATATTAAAATTGTTTATCAGCTTTTTCCCAGATTTGTAATGCAGACATTAGGATTTCTTCCTGGTTTACCTGGATTGTTTGTTTCTGGTATATTCAGTGGAGCGTTAAGGTATAAAAAAATTAATATATCACTTCATTATCTAACTGGATAAGTAAATAATCTTTTTTGTTACCGATATTTAGCACAGTATCATCAGGTGTAAATTCATTAGCAGCAGTAACTCTAGAAGATATCATAAAAGCCTATATTGTTAAAGATATATCTGAAGTTTGGGCTACAAGAGTTACAAAAATAACAGGTAATAGACAATATTTTATTATTATTATTATCTAGAATTAATTCTAAATTTATTATTTCAGCTTTCGTTTATGGAGTTTTAGCAATTGTGTTAGTATTTGTGGCACAGCAGTTGGGTGGAGTTTTGCAGGTGATATCATGTTTCCTCTAGAAATTTTGTTTTTATATTATTAAAAAAAAAAATTTACATTTAGGCTGCACTCAGCATTCATGGTATGGTTGGTGGTCCCATGTTAGGATTATTTTCCCTAGGCATGATATTTCCATGGACTAATTCTTTGGCAAGTTATTACCTGTAATGATAAATTTAAATTAGATAGATATATTTTTAACTGTTTCACTTTCAGGGAGCAGGTTTAGGTTTGTTATCTGGTTTTGTGGCATCCTTTTGGATTGGAATGGGTGCTTTTGTACATAAGCCATATCATCCCAAGGCACCACTCTCAGTTTCTGGATGCATTGACTATTTCAACAATGTAACTACTACTAATGTAACAGTATATGCAACAAATGCTACTTTCTACAGTCCAGAGTAAGTAGTTTTTTTTCCTTTGTCTGAACATAAATATCAATAAAATTCAAATTTAAAAACAACTTCAGGAGTAACGGAGAGGAAGTTTTTGTTCTTTATCGATTATCGTACATGTGGTACAGTGCAATAGGATGCATTGTTTGTGTTGTCATTGGTTTGACTGTGAGTTTCATTTCAGGTAAAATTCAATTCTATACCATTTTTCTATGCTATAAATTCAATTGAATAATAGAGTTAATAGTATTTATTTTATATTTCAGGGCCAACAAAACCTTCTGATGTGGATAATGAATTAATAAGTCCAGTGTATAAAGCTCTCTACATCAGTTTACCTACCAACATGCAGAAATATTTCAAGCTTCGTGGATATGAAGTTAAGAAGGTAACTTTCTTTTTTAAATATTTTCAAACTATTCTTATAGTTTTAATATTTTATATATTTTACTTAACAGAAAGAGGTTATTAAAGAAGAACTCATAATGACCCAGGTAACAAGAAATGAACAAATGAAGGAAGGAATAACAAATATCAGCTTTACACCCGAAAGTGAAATGAAACAAAATGGAATGCCTTCTTGATTTTAATAAAAAAAATAATCAAGAAATATTCTATTGAAATGTATCAAAATATGCCAACTTATCTGTAGATATTTAGTATTTAGGAAATATTTATAGAAATGTTGACAAATCCCCAATTATTATTTAATTTTCAGGTATATTAAGTATTCAGTTTATTAATTTGAAACTGTGATAAAATAATCATGTTTAAAACTGAAATTGATATTACACTTACATATTTAAATGAAAATTATATGGATATATTTTTCTTAATTAGTAAAAGATATAAATAATTTAGGAAAATAATTTATTGCATATACTGCATAATAAAATATTTAAATCAAAAATAATTAAATTTTAAGATTTTCAAAAAACAAACCTACATGAAGATTTGTTTATTTGAAAGGAGTATCAATACTGGTATTTATGAAAAGTTTTCTGCTAGTCCAGAGGAGTCTAAAATAAAGAATAGAAATAATTCTATTTTGTATTTTTTTTTTTTTTTTTTATATGAAAGAATTTGTAAATGTTTTTACTGGTTCAATAAAACAGACCAACAATACTTTTTTCCTACATTTATTTATCAGAAATTCTAAATTAATATCCAACAAAATACTGTATGTATTAAGAGTCAAAACTCCAAGCAAATGCTAAACATTTTATCTACTTAATGCTCTTCTAATCACTAACAAACATATACAAATACTGTTTAAATCATCAATATATGATAACACAATCTTTAAATGACAGTTATTAAAAATTAACTAAATGATAAGATTTTCTATTTATAAATAAACTGAAACATATTTATGATATTGCTTGAAGTTTTGCCAGTTTACACACATTGAAGAAGGGAAAAAAAACAACATTCAGTAAAATTGTATCACAATAAATTTTATCGTGGGTAAAAATCCATTAACAAATAAAAAAAAAATAAAACTATCAGCTGGAACAATCACATTTTAGAGGCAATTTAAACAAAATATGATTCATTTACATAAATAAATATTTTAAAATAATAATTATTCTATCCACAACTAAAATAATGAAAATTCAATACTGTAACATAAAATTCAATGTAATTTAAGTCATCTTTGGTGTAAATAATACAAAAACTTAATTCTAAACATCTTAAGACAATTTTTAGTTTAATATTAATGAAATATTGGTATTATATAAATAATTAATTTATTTATTTATAATTCTGGTCACTGTTATATTTGATTTGTATAAAAAAATAGCAGCTGTCAACAACTCAATAATAACAATGAGAAACTATATTATCATCAAGATATAGAGTGCTTTTTCAATTATCATTTATTTTATTTTCAAAAACTACTGAATTTTTAAGTTAAATAATATTCATTATATCAAAATATACAATTCATTTATAAAAATCAAATTTTAAAAGATGTAATGACGACACTAAAAATATTTGTGAAAACTTGCTTCTTAGTTTTCAATAATTTGGAATGAACTAAACATTGTAAAAGCTAATACGAATAACTTTTAAATTTTTTTAATGAGGCTTGAATCATTTATAATAAAATCAAACTGATCTTGTAGAGAGAACTTAACTTTACTGTAGTTTTCAATTTATACAAAATAATTTACAAATAATCATTTAATTAAAAATAAAATAATGGTTCAAACCTTACATGATTTTCTATAACAAAAGCACTTAATTTTTATTCAAATAAAAATAAAAATTTAATTATAAACCCTTCAATTTTTCTTCGTGAAAGGTATTGTCTATATTCAAATAATGTCAAACAAATGTTTATGCATCAACATTTGTCCATACGAAGACTTGCAATACAAAATTACACTTTACAAGAGATTAAATTCTGTTCTTAGAAATGCTATCCATACCAATATCTCATTAAATTACATTACGTTTGCAGCCAACAGCTAATTGATGACATTACATTGGTTAATTGAATAAATAAATAAATAAATTTAAACATGTCGCAAAATATCACATAATAAAATAAATGTTATCACATTAATTGTAAATTTTTGTACACACTAGTGTAAATAAATCAGTATAATTTTTTTTATAATTAAATATAAGTGATTGAATACAGGTTTCTTTTTAACTGCAGAAAGTCTAAAGATTGATGAGAAATGATTAAAAAAAACAAAAAAAATGCAATATATACAACAAAATTTGACAATTATAAATGGATAGGATACATATATTACCATTTTATAACTACATCAGTAAGGACATGATACATAAAACTTTTTATGAATACAGTATATTACACAATATGAACATGCTCATGCTTATATAAAACATCGGAAAATAAATAAGATATCAGAATTATGATAATTCCCAAATCATAAAAAAGAATCTTCAAAATATTTAAAAATAAAATAAGAACATATAAAAATAAAAGATAATATTTGAGCAAAAAATTTTTTTATTATTTGGGAATTATATAATTGTGTTTATAAATTTGTTACAAATCAAATGCTAGACAAATATTAAAAAACTTTTTATAATCTTTTTCTATATTATACGTTTCTGTTTGAATTATAAAATACAATTAATCAAATTCTCGAGTTTATAAAATTTCTATTTTTTCCTCTTGGAAAATCAAAACATGTGTCATAAAATTCTAGTTTATTTTGAAGTCTAAAATACTGTGAGTTATCTAATATTGTGTAGAGTGAAAAATTAACTCTTATTTTAATTGCAAATAAATCAAACATAATTTAATATTGTTAATTATTCAGATTATTTCTGTTACTCAAAAGACACAATTACTTATGGAAACTTTTAAAATTAAATCCTTTACATATGCTATTCCGAATATATATATATATATATTTTAAATATAGTTTTGCACTTTTTAAAAACAATGATTTATTGAAAAATCTTTTGAGTTAATTATGTAGATTTATGACAGTTTATGTAAACCACCTTCTAAAACTGGTATTTATATTAACTTTTACAGATATAACAGTTTCTTTCATATATCAAAGCACAAATCTAATAAAAGTTCAAATTATTTTATATCTTTTTATGTTTAGATTCATTATTATTATTTGGCACTTTATTTAAAAAGAAATATCTGATGTTAAATTAAAATTTTATATATCAAACATTCCAGTTAATTACCATTGAATGTTTATAACTAAAAAAAAAATCATATCACTACTTTTTAACACGAGTTTTTCTTTGCAAACAATTTTAAGAGTTTTTTTAAAATTTGCATGTACACATCATATGCTGGACATGATTGCAATGTAACAAACATTTATCTCAAATAACTTGCTAGCTCTAGAATTATAAAAATAAACTTAGTTGTAAATAATTTTAAATAAATTTTTTTACAATCAATGTTTTTACAATTGATAATTTTGTAATGATTTGCTTGTAAACCAGACATTAATATTTTGATAACAGCTTTTGATAAATAATTCAATTGTAAAGTAAAAATTGTAGAGGGAAAAAACTTCTACAATTTTTATTTTAATTATAAATGAAAAAAGCAGATGTTATTATTAATAATATATTTATTTCTGGCAGAGAATTTATTTTCTTGCCAGGAATCACTAAATTTATTTTAGCATTAGGAACAAAAATTTTTTTTTTCCTCTTATATTTCTGTATGTATTGATGGCAAGCATATTGGATTATTTAAACAATTCTTTACAGAATTCAAAACTACTTATTATTGTTGTGAAATATACTAATGATATGTTTTCTAATGCTTTGTTATTCAGTTTATGACATTTATAATAATTTATTTTTAGTTTAATTAATCTACTTGAAATTTCAGAAATTATTTGAAATAATTATAATGAGTAAAGCTAAAAAAATTTTAAGTACTATCGATCACCTCAACCATGTCCAATTCCTCGAAGCTACAAATAAAATCTATAAACTTCAACTAACAAAAATCATTTGTACCGGTTGAAGTTCAATGCTTATATAATTATAATATAATTACACTTTTTTCCAAAATTTACTATTAAAGAAACAAAAAAATACATTAAAAATTATTTTACTGAATTTATCTTTAGGCTATTTCTTCAAATTATATATATATAATGCAATATTTTAATGAAAATACATCATAACAGTTAAAAAAAACTGTCTCAGATTTACAAGTAAATCAATAAATAAAAGCAGGTAACAAGCTATTTGAGAACAGAGATATTTTTATATCTTGTGTAGTTTTAAACAAGCAAAAATAAGCATTGTAAGCTTATTAGACTTTCAAAGAATTTAAATTTAGATAGATAGTTGTCTTTTTTTTTTTACACTCCTAGTCACACAACCTTATATTATACATGATGTATTTCATAACTTACCTATACACTTTATAAATACGATTACAAAATCAACATTTGTTAGTTTCAATATTTTGGAATGATTTTAAATATTTTATATTATTGACATTTTCTGTAATTTCTTTTTACATTATTATAGGATTAAATAGTTAGAAACTATAAAATATTTTTAATTATTATATATACAACTTTTTCATTATTTATTAAATTATTCTTAATGTTTCAATTAAAGTAATTTTAAATGTTTTTTACACATCAAATTTCTCTCAGATTATTTCCCTTTCTAATAGTTCTAAAAGAAGTTATTTAAGCGGCATTAACTTTAATTATAATTTTCTGTTCCATTGAATATCTTTTTGTCTGAAATAATTCACTACATTTAGTTATATCTTAAAGAAATAATCCAAGAAAAATTTACATTATATTTTCTGCAGAATCAACCAATATGAAAGTAGTGAAAGATTATTGAAATAAATTATTTTCTCTAAATGATAACATTAAATGTAACCACATTCAGTACTACCCATTAAGTAAAAATTTAATTCCAAAATTTATAGTTTACTGAAAATATTAATGTTGATTTTTTTCAATTATCTGTAGAATTTATAAAAAGAATATTACTGAAGCAACTAACTAAATATATTTGAATTAAATTAAATAAGCACAAATATGGCAGAATAAATCTGAATGCAACTATTTTTCTATTAAGTAAAATCTTTTAAGATGTGCTTTTTATATCAAATTATAAAGAAATAACTAAAATACTTGACAATGTTGATTGTCCTTTCAAAACTACAGTATTTAACTACTTTAATTTCAAAGATAAAAATATCTTTACCTATTACATTACATATATTTTTTTTCTTTTTAAGAAGTATACTAAATCCTACCTAATGGAAGATCCACTTTGATCAATTTTGTCAAATATCTGGTACAATAAACTAAAGCACAGAAAATAATTTTATATTTTTTATCACATTTATTTTAATCATCATGAGAATTTAATAAGCCATTTTTAATGCAAATTGTTTCATATTAAAATACCTTCAATTAATTCATGAAGATTTATAAAAATATTTATTGTAAGAAAAACATGCATCATTGATCGAGTATTTATTGAGTTCATAAAAATAATTGATAATCATATTTTTAAATAAATATCTTAATTTGCAGGACTTTTTTAAAATTTATCAAACATTAAAATTAAAATTTTTTTTTTATGATAAAATTTTAAAAATGTTAATATCTAATTTGATAATATGATTAATATATAATTGTAATTACTTCTGATTCAAAGTTATAATTTATTTTTTTTCGGATAATTATTAATTTTAAAAAATTCTACATAAATTACTTACATAGTGGGTAACAGTGAATGTGTTTTTTATTTTATGAAAATATTAAATAACTGTATAAAATACAACAATTGAAGTGAAAAATATTAAGAATTATCACCAACAGATTGATTTTATCATCAAAAATTATAAATATAAAATCATTCATATAACTGAAACAATAACTCAAATTTTTAATTATTAAAAGTATTTCATTAATATGTTTTAGTAATTTTTGATAATTATTTTCTATATTTTTTTTTTATCTTTCATCTTTCATCACAGTTGATATAGATATGATATTTAGAATAGGATAGGTTCTCAAATTAACAAGATTCAGTATGAATATTACAACACATAAAAAGATGTTTCAATCTTAGTTTATACAAAAGAAATCAATCTATATTGTTTACAATTCCTCATTCATCAGTTATGATTTTAATATTTTAAAAATCCTAAAAAAAATAAAGATTGAGATCTAAAAATATAATCAAATTAACTAATGTGTGATACTATATTTGGTTTAATTAATACTACTCATTAAACAAGTCTTAATAATTTATATCATATTTTAAATTTATCATGATTAACTATCATTGTCTAATGATTTAATGAAATTTCTTGATAATAGGAGTATATGATACATAATGACTGAAAAAAGATGTGCATGGTGCACTTAAAAAATTAAAGATAAACTAATTACTTATAAATTAGAGTCATTAGTTACAGAGTTTTTGTAAGATGGCAGTAGTTGATCATAAAGGTGATGCAATGGTCGATGTATCATTTCTATCAGTTGTGTATAATTGGGCTCTGAAAAATAATTAAACTATATTAGTTTTTTTAAACACAAAGTTTATTTTAATAAAATATAGTTAAAAGTTTAAAAATAATTTTAATATATGAAAAATTTTACAAAAAAATAAGCTATTAAACCAAGAAAGTAAAAAGTTTAGTATATTTTTTAAAATGTTTACTAGAAAATTTAATAAGGTTGTAATAATTTTAATATTTAAATTTTAAAAATGATGCTTGTATGAGGTTCTGGACAAACCATCACTAAAAGTCTTTCTAAAAATGTTTTGTTTGAATAGAAAAAAAATACTAACATTATGAAGGAATGAATGAAACAATGCAAGTTCTAAGATCAACCATCTCTAGCTTGGATTGGATCTTGGTATCAGATTAAACATAGACATTGGCATCTCCAGCAATCTAAGTTGTGTTTGAGTTACACTTGGTAATATGTAAGAGATCAATTAGAAAGTGAGAATGAGGTTTGAAACTAATTGGAACTGTGATCAAAGGACTGTGTTAGTAAGACCAAGTGATGTTTTCCTCCAAGATGCATTGTTCTTTTTCAAAAGATTCAAAGTTGTTATCCTTCTGCAAAAAGACCAAGTTCCTTCTGTAATATCCTTTCATAAAAGCCAATTCATTTCTGACAAAGTTCTTTTTTGAAGATATGTGCTTAAATTTTTGTGTAATTCCTATTACTAGTGCCTTTTCCAACAAAATTTTTGTCATGTGAATTTCAAGTGCCTGATTGTCAGATGTTCACCCAGCTCTTACCTGATTCTTCCTGTATGAGTTGTCATCAATTCAGTGTCACATTGGTTGATCCCTAAATTCCCATCTGACAAGAGGTTATAAAAATAACTTTGGAGTTGTGGATCAATGAAGAAATTATTGACAAACTCAACCATGACATTGGAACCAAGATAGACCAATTAGGTGGCCTCTATATATACCTAAAAGACTACTCTGAGATCATTTGTACTGTAAGTGAAGTGACCATTATTTTGTAAATGGGGTCTTGTTTCAGTGTCTCTATCTACATATGACCTTTCACTCCTCTTGTCATCCTAAAAAAAAGTGAGAGGAGACCTTTCTTCTATAGTAGGTGGTGTTGGGCCACTGACTACTGAATCAGGGACCTCCCCATCATATACATTATTTCAATGCATTTACAGACATACAGTAATAACCCAGTTTTCATTGACTTCAATTATCGCTGATTTTTTCTGTGAAAAATTTATTTCAATTTTCGTTGTCATTTGCAAAATTAGCAGCGAGATCACGCTGCTAAATAAGGGCAACTCATGCATTTTCCCACTCAGTGTGGTGATGTTTCTCATTGTGTGAGCATTACCCATGGTAAATGTTCATTTATTCTTTACAATATTCATTTTATATTAATTTCTTATTGTTTTTAGTATTAAACATTATATTTGTTCTCTATAAAATGTGTTTATGGTATGTATTTTGGAGTGTCTAGGATGAATTAATTGGATTTACATTGATTCAGATAAAAATAATTGTCTCGGTTTTCATCGGTTTCAGATTTTGCCAATTGTTTTCAGATGGATTATCTATGAAAACCAAGATATCACTGTTCATGATTAAATGATATATGATACATTTAGTTATCTTGATCTCTGTTTTCATCAAGTGATGAAAACAGAGATCAAGATAACTAAATGTAATTGCTAAAAAATATATGCTTTCATCACTTGCATCCATTTGCATCACTTGACCTACAAAGTATGATAAATCTGGAAAAATTAGCCAAATTTAGTCCACATCAAGTTATATCAATCACAAACAAGAAGCAAAAATATTTAGAAGAAACATTTAGTTATGTTTATTGAGTTTTGAAGAAGAATGATGATAATGCCACCCCTAAAATCATCATTAAAATGCATTGTGATCAGACTTAGTTATGTTTTGGCCTTATTTGATGCAGTTTGTACTGTTCAATGAAGTTATGATTAAAATTCATTAACTGAAAAACAAAGTTTATTTTTATATTATTATTTTTAAAACTTAATTTATAAAAGTTTTAAAAACAAGTATTATACAAGTTTAACATAGAAGCCAGACTGTTATATATTTACCTTTTTTCTTCATTAATCTTTACATTAACAAAACATTTTCTTAATTCACCACGTTGGAATTTACTTTTACAGTAACTAGATCTTGTCAAACCAGTATTCTGGCTAAATATTTTGCTGACTCAACAAATTTTTCATACATGAATTTTTTATATGAAAAGCTAATAATATTATGTTAAAGGTTACATTAAAAAGAAAAATGCTATTTTTTCCTTTTTACTTTTAAAATTTTTTCTTTTTGTCTAAATTTTGTTGTTATTAATTTAATGATATAACATCACAAATTCTGATTTTAATTTCAAGTGCATTTTTAAAAAATTTTTTTAACAAAAACAAAAACAATTAATAAATATTTTTCAACTATAATATGTAGACTGTAAATAATTGCTAATTTATAAGTAGTTGGCTACATTGCAAGGCAAACTATCACTAAGAAGTCAATTTTTTAAAAATATTGATATCATCATCATCTCAGTTCCTTTAAGACAGAAATTCTTTCATTGTTATTTTCCATTATTGAGGTCAATAGAAAGAGTTTAAAAAAATCCAATAAAATGTGTGTAGCACACATTAAATTAGATTTTTATTAAGTTATATTTACAGAGAAATATTCTTTTAATATTTACATCAAAAATATAAAAATGTATCATCTATTTTTACATTAAATACAATTTTGGAATTTTTCTGCAATCAATATTCTCCAATTAATTCTCAGAACTTATTAGCATGAACACTCATAAATTAAAAAACAATTTCGCGCATCTAAAATGATAATATTAAGTATCATTGACCTTATAAGGAGTTGATTACGACCTGTTCTATTTTGTTTGGGGATTGCTTTTAGTTTGTATTCTATTTATTTTGAGGCGTTTTATTTTGTTAAGGATAGACTACTGCACCTCACCCAGACAAAATTCAAAATTAACTCACTTAACTAAGATGACTGCTAGTGGCAAATTATGACATCTCAGGGGAGACTTCCACAGAAAGTTCTCCCATCCCAAAGTGTCCTCGGAAATGTAATAAAAAATTATAAAACTACTTGTAAAGAAGATGACATGAATTAGCAAGACAGATTACTAGAATGAATGAAATGTTAATGAGTATGTAAATATGGTTGAGTGGGCGTATGCTTGTAATGTCACCCAACCGCAATATAAGGAGATGAATTGAAGAATCAAATGAGGTGGTGCTAAGGATTGAGTGAGACTGACTTTTGAAACTGGCTTTCCAGTTCCACTGACATATTTTTGGTGATGGTTAGACCAAAAAGTAGATTCATTGTAATTCATTAGTAAGATTCTTTGTGTTTTTTTCAATAATTTTTTCATATTTTGTTTGTTAGTTTTTGTGGAGTTAGTTCTAAGATAATTGTAATTTAATTTGTAAGTCACCACTTCCAATCAAGATAGAAGGCCAAAACTTAGAGAACATAACTAAGTCTGATCACAATACATTTTAATGATGATTTTAGGGGTGGCATTATCATCATCTTCAAAACTCAATAAACATAACTAATGTTTCTTCTAAATATTTTTGCTTCTTGTCTGTGATTGATATATCTTGATCTGGAAAAATTAGCCAAATTTAGTCCACATTTGTTAGGAAAGTTTTGTATATATTTGTTTTGGTTTATTGATAAATTATCTTTATTTGCAAGTTATTCTCTAATGTTACTTCTTGATTGTACATATTTGGGCATTTACTAATAAATAGATTTTTTTGCATTACACACAGTAGTTATTTCGGGTTTTGGCATTAATAACAATTTTCCTTTATTTTATTGCATGTGTAAAGTCCAGACCTGGCACTTTCAAATTCTTTGTTCATATAATGCACTGTTAGAGTATCATCCAGTCTTTTGATTTGATAAGAAAGACGTTACAACCTAATAAGTTTTTAATGCAAAATTAAGCTTCTTACTTTTATATTTAATAAAATTAACTCTGTTAAATTTTAATACAGTAGTGTGTCGATTATCCGAATGCCGATCAACCAAAATGTCGGTTAATCGAAAACGTTCCAGTTGGACTGTGTTGTGCTGAATCGAACGTTTTTGATACTGGNCCATTTCGTGTGCTGTTCTGCGACGAAAACAAGCTTTGAGCAATGGCATAGTCGAACGGTGCATACTCGGTAAGTAATCCTATAATTTTTTGTTTATAGCATAGTTTATACAGATTATTCCCAAAAAATTATACATGTTTTGGAAATGTTGAGTGGAATCAGTCTAGAATCGGTTAATTTTATAGAAGAAAACCTTTCAAACAGCCTTAGTCCGTAAACTTCACACCTATCGGGCTGCGATTGGCTCATGTATTTAATCATTCCTACAACGTAAAATTCTATTAACGTAGAACGTATCTAAGCATTATGGGGGGGGGGTCTACTGTATTTGATAATGTTAATGTTATAGTTATTTTAACTGATCGAATGAATCTATTCTGACATATCAAACAACTAAAAATTATCTATAATTTGAATTAAAATGGCAGATAGTATATTTCACAACATAAATATATAGAATAAACTAAATCTTCAAACTTCCATCATGCCCAATCATCAGGAACAAAAAAACAGCCTTCACTTTGTAGAGATGACCTTTTATTAAAAGTTACATGTCTGCAAAATTATTTAAAACAGTTAATAAGTTCATTGATGACATACCAAAGTATATATCAATATTTAAAGTATTATAATTTTATATATATGTATATTTTAAAATAGTTTCTTTGGCTTATCATCTGTAAACTTTTTAACTGTTTTATATAATTTTGCAGAGGCAAAACCTCTAATAAAAAAGTCATCTCTGAAAATTGAAAATTGTTTTACATTTTTGTGAGTATATTGTCTACTTGGACCTTGTTTATTAATATGACTTATTATACTGTAGTAGTTTCTGATTGGCAAAGAGAGGAGATCTTAGTCAAAAGTCAAAACAAAATATCCTTATTTTCAACTGTTTTGACTTAACGAAGGTCTCTCTTTGAAACTAAAGAAATGTAAAACAGTAAGGTCATAGAGGTAAAAAGAATGAAAATTGTTTTGTTTCTGATGATTATCTTCAAACTTCCATCATGTCCAATTTAGTTTCATCTATATTTTTATATTGTAAAAGTTACCTGTTTTAAATGTATTTTAATAATGTTAGATATTTTGTGCTTGTTATCAAATCTTTTACTTTCTGAATATTCAAATAATTAAAAATTCTTTTTTACACAAAAAAATAATTTTATATTTAGAAACATCTCAACAATGTCAATAAGAACCTTTTCAATAACTAAGGATAGCATAAAAAAAAATTCAATAAAATTTTGTAGATGTGTAAAATTACTTGTAGAGATGGCAGCTAATGTCTGACTCTAGTGCCAAATTATTTAGCATTTAATAAACAATAGTAATAGTAATACAGCCTGATATAATCTGAAAATCATTTGACTTATATATATAAGTATCAGGTTTAGATTGTTTATACAGTCAACCCCCCTATAACGTGCGTTCCTATAACGGAAATTCCTATAACATAGTGAAAATATTGTAGCAACATTCGTATAAAGGAGCTCCTAAAATGTCGTCGCTGACTCGTTTCGCAACAAGATTGATAGAATCTGGACCAANACATTAAATTAGATTTTTATTAAGTTATATTTACAGAGAAATATTCTTTTAATATTTACATCAAAAATATAAAAATGTATCATCTATTTTTACATTAAATACAATTTTGGAATTTTTCTGCAATCAATATTCTCCAATTAATTCTCAGAACTTATTAGCATGAACACTCATAAATTAAAAAACAATTTCGCGCATCTAAAATGATAATATTAAGTATCATTGACCTTATAAGGAGTTGATTACGACCTGTTCTATTTTGTTTGGGGATTGCTTTTAGTTTGTATTCTATTTATTTTGAGGCGTTTTATTTTGTTAAGGATAGACTACTGCACCTCACCCAGACAAAATTCAAAATTAACTCACTTAACTAAGATGACTGCTAGTGGCAAATTATGACATCTCAGGGGAGACTTCCACAGAAAGTTCTCCCATCCCAAAGTGTCCTCAGAAATGTAATAAAAAATTATAAAACTACTTGTAAAGAAGATGACATGAATTAGCAAGACAGATTACTAGAATGAATGAAATGTTAATGAGTATGTAAATATGGTTGAGTGGGCGTATGCTTGTAATGTCACCCAACCGCAATATAAGGAGATGAATTGAAGAATCAAATGAGGTGGTGCTAAGGATTGAGTGAGACTGACTTTCGAAACTGGCTTTCCAGTTCCACTGACATATTTTTGGTGATGGTTAGACCAAAAAGTAGATTCATTGTAATTCATTAGTAAGATTCTTTGTGTTTTTTTCAATAATTTTTTCATATTTTGTTTGTTAGTTTTTGTGGAGTTAGTTCTAAGATAATTGTAACTTAATTTGTAAGTCACCACTTCCAATCAAGATAGAAGGCCAAAACTTAGAGAACATAACTAAGTCTGATCACAATACATTTTAATGATGATTTTAGGGGTGGCATTATCATCATCTTCAAAACTCAATAAACATAACTAATGTTTCTTCTAAATATTTTTGCTTCTTGTCTGTGATTGATATATCTTGATCTGGAAAAATTAGCCAAATTTAGTCCACATTTGTTAGGAAAGTTTTGTATATATTTGTTTTGGTTTATTGATAAATTATCTTTATTTGCAAGTTATTCTCTAATGTTACTTCTTGATTGTACATATTTGGGCATTTACTAATAAATAGATTTTTTTGCATTACACACAGTAGTTATTTCGGGTTTTGGCATTAATAACAATTTTCCTTTATTTTATTGCATGTGTAAAGTCCAGACCTGGCACTTTCAAATTCTTTGTTCATATAATGCACTGTTAGAGTATCATCCAGTCTTTTGATTTGATAAGAAAGACGTTACAACCTAATAAGTTTTTAATGCAAAATTAAGCTTCTTACTTTTATATTTAATAAAATTAACTCTGTTAAATTTTAATACAGTAGTGTGTCGATTATCCGAATGCCGATCAACCAAAATGTCGGTTAATCGAAAACGTTCCAGTTGGACTGTGTTGTGCTGAATCGAACGTTTTTGATACTGGATTAACTTCCAAAATATAATTTTTTTGTTTTTATATTTTTCAATATATTTATTTTGTTTGTAGAAAATAAATAAATAATTTTTAACGATACAATAGCCACGATTATTATTATAAAAGTTTTCGTTAGGCTTATCGTAGACAAAAATTCAATGAGAAGCAACATGCAACAGAGAAAAATTTAAACATGGGATATATTAATTAATATACTATAATTGGGATATACTAATATACTATATTAATAATGTATTTTTTCGTACATAATTGGTTATCCGAAAAATCAATTTTCTGAACAACCCCAGTCCCCAATTGATTTGGATAATGACTCTCTACTGTACTAACTTTTGTGAAAAAAGAAAACATAAAATGAATACAGTAATATCCCAAACTTATGCGATAGGTGGGACCGAGTGATAACCGCGTAAGTCAAATTCGCGTAAGTCGGGGTATAATTTCCCAATTTGCGTAAAATCCAAGTCGGATGTATGTAAACTAATGAATGTTCTCGTTAATCTTATCTTGTCTTTTGATTTGTTTACGGTTACAAGAAATCACCACATACAGTCTCTCAAGGCTCCGTAGATATAACAAACACAGAAATAAATAACACAAAATAAATTGTAGCTATGAGTCGATTCTGCACGACACGTCTGAACATGTAAGCTGAACAATAGTGTGGGGGGAGTCAGTAATCAAGAGTTGCGTGGCACTCAAACAAGAGACGAATCGACAAGATTTGAAAATCGCGTAACTCTGGGTTCACGCAAGTCGGGGTAGCGTAAGTCGAGGTATTACTGTATAAACAAAGATACATAGATTGAAATTTTTATTTCTGACATTACATCTTTATAGTCAGATATTATAGTTATAATACAAACAAGCTATATTATAGGACAGAACACTAAATTAAAATTAAATTAACATTAAAACTAATGAATATTTCTATTACTTATATACAAATTTAAATTTGAAATCTCATTTTTACAACTTGATTCTGATTAATAATCACATGATCCTCAAAAAATTTAAGGTTTTATTATTAAATAACAAAAATAAATAACAAAATTTTAAAATAACATCAATTGCATATTTTATGAGATAGCTAGCACATGTGATATGGTGTGTTCAATGCTGCCAAGACCAAATATTTTATAAAAAGTGTCCAATATAATTTTTATTTTTTTGCTAAGTTAATGTAGCCAATACATATATTTAATGTTTCATAACTGAAAGTAAAGCAATATCAGTAATATTTGTTTGCACAGTTAGCATAACTTATTGCAAAATATATATATCAATCCATAATGTTCTCTTTTCTACTTTTTTAAAAAGTCTTAGAAATTTTTAACTTTTTTCTATAGTATTAGAATAAATTTCACCAGTCTGAAATGAATATTTTGTCATTTGTCTAGAGAGAATTAACTGCCTCTCATTATATTAAGATTTTATTCCTGATTACTACTACATTGATTTTAAATTATTCTATTACTTACATAACTTTTGATAAAAAAATACAGCTGCTTTTAAAGATCTATTGTTTGATAACATATTTTATTAGTTATTTATCTAATTAAAACAATAAATTTTATCTATTTTATTAAAAAACTAATCTTTTTTAAAATAATAGTTGACTACAGAATATATAAAAGTATTTTATAATTATTATGTAAGTATTAAAAGAATGATTGGCTGAAGACTCTTGATTAAATTTGGCTGAACTTAAATTTTTGCACTATATTTATTCAAATGTTAACTAGCTTATTGTCAATCTTTTTGTTTTCTTTTCTAAAAAAAAAAATCGTAAGAATTTGCTTTCATGGTAAAAACAAATACTTTTAGTACTACTTAGAATTTTGAAATGTTGGTGAATCAAATGTTATGATAAAGAGAATAATAAAATATAAAATATTCATTCTTGAATTTAATTATTATTATTTTTACAATAAAAAAGTTAACAATTTTATTTATTATATACTGATGTAAAATACTTACCATCATCTGCATTTAAATAACCATGACGTACCAAAAAATCAAGTACAATAAGACTGCTTGTTTGTTTAAAATCTTCTGTTACAACAACTTGTTTTGTCTGTAAATAAATATTAAAAATAGTGTGTTGAAAAAAAAATCATCAATTTAATTCAAATATTTATTTTATTCTATCCTTAATGCAAAATATTGAAAGAAATACTGTTTTTTCTAACTTTTTTAATACATCTAGCAGCACTCTATATAACAAAGATGTAAACATCAGATATTTTATATCAATACAATATATCTATTCTCTCTTAAAATTGAAAATAGGAAATAATATTATATAAAAACATAGTTAAATAAATTAAATTAAATAAATTGGCACTGGAAAATGTAGATTTGAAAAAAGTAGCCTACTTTTTTCAAATCTACATTTTACAGTGCCAATTTATTTAATTTAAAATACAGTAGAGCGTCGTTTATCCGAATCAATTGGGAACTGGGGTTGTTCAGATAACTTATTTTTCGGATAATCGATTATGTACGAAAAAATATATTAATTAAACTATCCCATGCTGAAATTTTTCTCCGTTGCATGTCGCTTCGTGTTGAATTTTCATTGATGTTAAGCTTAACGTAAACTTTTTAAAATAATAATCGTGGCTATTGTATCGTTAAAAATTATTTCTTTATTTACAAACAAAAAAATTATACTTCAGAAGTTAATCTAGTATCAAAAACATTCGATTCAGCACAACAGTCCTCAGAAAAACACCACACAAGTGCCAGTGCTGCCAGCTAAAACACACACCAACAAAAAATATTGGAGTAGCCAAAGATTGCAGTGCCAGAGCACTAGCAAAAATTTAAATTTGCCAACTGGAATTCTTTCAGATAACTGACATTTTGGATAACCGACTTTCGGATAAACGACGCTCTACTGTATATGCTTTTGATTTTAGTAGTGTCTTGTTCCTATATATTGCACTTTTCTTGAGCAATAATAACAATAACTATAGAGTCATGCTGGTCATCTATCTTACTCAGTTCTGGAGAAAAATTTTGAATTGAACATGATTTCCAGTTCAAATCAGAAGTTTGTATATAGTTAATCAGGGCCTCCTGCCCCTGAGCTTTCTATATCTGATCTTGATTTTCATCTATTAACTGTGTTCTTGAGATTAAGGAAGGACAGACATATGGACATCAGTGGAAATTTATAGGTACGCAATTTTAAAATTGCAACACAATGAAAGGAAGCATAACAGTAAGTTTCATAAATTAATTTCAAAACTTTTTAAATATTTGAAGAGATGCAAATACAATAGCACAAAATGTATCGTGCTGAGTCTTTGTTAATTAGAAGTATGATGTAAGAATATTTCTAGAAAAATAAAGGAATAAGCCATTAAACTGTATCACCGATCAGTGAAATATAAATTGGCTTCATAGCTGAAAAATAAATTATCTATATTAAGAAAAGCAATAATATTTAAATACATATAATCTAGTAATTAAATTTTTTAAAGTCAAAAATAAAACTTAAAAATTCACTAGAAAGAACAAAACAGACATTACAAATATATATTTGAATGAATCAAGTTCATAATTTGTCTTTGTCACACAATAAAGTCACATGGCAGAGTTGACCTTTATTTTGAGGCTCTTCTCTGCCTCAATGTGTAAAATCTGTTTAAAGCATTATTCTGGCATATTGAGAGGAGGACAACCTCAAAATAAACATTGAAAACACAAGAAAATCACATGACAAAACTGAAGTATGAAAAGGACAAATTATAAAGACATACTCTCATTTTTTTGCAGTGTTTCTTCTATCCTAGTAAATTTTTAATTTGCATTTATGCTGGATATTTTATTAATAAAACTATTAATTAATTAATTTAATAAAAATTACTAATAGCAAAACTCAATTTGAAACAGATGTTACAAGGAGAGCCCAGGAGGTTGTCATCACTGATTTTGATAAAATTTTGTAGATGTGTAAAATTACTTGTAGAGATGGCAGCTAATGTCTGACTCTAGTGCCAAATTATTTAGCATTTAATAAACAATAGTAATAGTAATACAGCCTGATATAATCTGAAAATCATTTGACTTATATATATAAGTATCAGGTTTAGATTGTTTATACAGTCAACCCCCCTATAACGTGCGTTCCTATAACGGAAATTCCTATAACATAGTGAAAATATTGTAGCAACATTCGTATAAAGGAGCTCCTAAAATGTCGTCGCTGACTCGTTTCGCAACAAGATTGATAGAATCTGGACCAATAGTGGATGAGCAGCCGAACTACTTTCCTCCGCCCTGCGACACACTACGGAGCGGCTAAATTGAGTTTGCTATCGTCTGTACAGTATTATATATAAATTAGGTACTGTACATATAATTATATATTAATTATATATAAATTAGGTACTGTATATATAATTATATATTAACTTAATTTATTGTAACTTTATTATAATTATATATATGCTTTCTGCCGCCTGGCAACACGCTACGGAGATTTTAGGCTAGTAAGTTGAGTTTATTATCGTCTGTACAGTATGTAAATTAGGTACCGTAAGTCTAATACAGCACTAATTTTATACATTTCTTGTGAAAGAAACATTTCTTATTCAACGGCCATAAAAATTATTTATATTAATGATGTCTCCAAAGGTCAAGTTATTTTTTTGTGAAAAATTCGTTATCAGAAATCGCAGCCGCCATTTCGTGCGCTGTTCTGCGACGAAAACAAGCTTTGAGCAATGGCATAGTCGAACGGTGCATACTCGGTAAGTAATCCTATAATTTTTTGTTTATAGCATAGTTTATACAGATTATTCCCAAAAAATTATACATGTTTTGGAAATGTTGAGTGGAATCAGTCTAGAATCGGTTAATTTTATAGAAGAAAACCTTTCAAACAGCCTTAGTCCGTAAACTTCACACCTATCGGGCTGCGATTGGCTCATGTATTTAATCATTCCTACAACGTAAAATTCTATTAACGTAGAACGTATCTAAGCATTATGGGGGGGGGGTCTACTGTATTTGATAATGTTAATGTTATAGTTATTTTAACTGATCGAATGAATCTATTCTGACATATCAAACAACTAAAAATTATCTATAATTTGAATTAAAATGGCAGATAGTATATTTCACAACATAAATATATAGAATAAACTAAATCTTCAAACTTCCATCATGCCCAATCATCAGGAACAAAAAAACAGCCTTCACTTTGTAGAGATGACCTTTTATTAAAAGTTACATGTCTGCAAAATTATTTAAAACAGTTAATAAGTTCATTGATGACATACCAAAGTATATATCAATATTTAAAGTATTATAATTTTATATATATGTATATTTTAAAATAGTTTCTTTGGCTTATCATCTGTAAACTTTTTAACTGTTTTATATAATTTTGCAGAGGCAAAACCTCTAATAAAAAAGTCATCTCTGAAAATTGAAAATTGTTTTACATTTTTGTGAGTATATTGTCTACTTGGACCTTGTTTATTAATATGACTTATTATACTGTAGTAGTTTCTGATTGGCAAAGAGAGGAGATCTTAGTCAAAAGTCAAAACAAAATATCCTTATTTTCAACTGTTTTGACTTAACGAAGGTCTCTCTTTGAAACTAAAGAAATGTAAAACAGTAAGGTCATAGAGGTAAAAAGAATGAAAATTGTTTTGTTTCTGATGATTATCTTCAAACTTCCATCATGTCCAATTTAGTTTCATCTATATTTTTATATTGTAAAAGTTACCTGTTTTAAATGTATTTTAATAATGTTAGATATTTTGTGCTTGTTATCAAATCTTTTACTTTCTGAATATTCAAATAATTAAAAATTCTTTTTTACACAAAAAAATAATTTTATATTTAGAAACATCTCAACAATGTCAATAAGAACCTTTTCAATAACTAAGGATAGCATAAAAAAAAATTCAATAAAATTTTGTAGAATAAAATATGTCTTACCTCTTCTACTGTCAACAGATGAAAACTTTCTACTTCTCCATCACTATTTCTTGGTTGAAAATCAATTGGAAGTTCCAGATCAAATACAAACATGGTTTCTGGTAAAATACCACGCTCATCTTCATAGATAAAACTATAAAAAACATTTATATGACATCACATTAAAATAAATTCAAAAATTTATTAACTAATTCAAATAAAAAAAATAATTAAAAAGTAATGAAAGCTATTCAAAATTTTTCCCTAAAAATAATAATACAACAAATTACATGAGAATTTTTGTAGAAAAAAGAAAAAAAGGATTGTAAAATATTAAAACTAATACAATATTAAAAAAATGTATCTTAAATAAAATGAAAATTGCAAACTAAATAAAAAAAATTCAATCACAAATGATAGGATGATAAAAAATAGTACATATTGCAATTAAAAACTTAATTCAGTAATTCATTACAGTATTTTAAATATAAGAATAATTAAATTAATTATTTAAGTATTGATTATAGGCAGATTAAAACAATCCCAGGCATCTGGTGGCACATAGTTGAGACTAAAGGTTAGTTTTAATGAAGAATATACACACACAGATAGTTAATCATCATTTATTAGTGAGGTTGCGTGAGGTCAAATTGGTCTATTCGACCAATATACGACATTTGACCATACGATAGAGATTGAATATTGAGTGCCACTTACAAGATAGTGGCACTCAATATTCAATGTTCATGTTTTAGAGAGATGAAAACTTTGGCTGCAACCTTGCTATAATAAAACAATAAAAAAACTTTTAAAATAGTATATTAACAACAAAAGCAAATCTTAGTTATAACTTAGTTTACCTACAAAATTTCTTTTAAAAAAAATATATTTTATAATTAGAAAATATTTACTAAACTTTTAAAGTAAAATAGAAACTCATAAATTAAAGTTATAAATTAAGAAATTAAAAATAAATCATAAAATGTATTTAGTTTGGTGAAGATGATGTGATTGGTGATTGTTGGCTGATTTCAGTGCAACTGTTGTCTAAGATTATTAGATCCTTTTAGATATGGATTGACAGGTCAGGGTTTTGAGTGGCAGATTATGTATTGAATGTGTTCATGGACATTGAGACAGATTTGAGTAGATGCATAAATCAATTTATTAAGAGAGAGATCAGCAGCTTATAATATATTTCCATAAGTTCTTTTTTGAGGCAAAATTTAGTTCACTAATCCAGTCTTATCAAGGATTGAGGTTTATGATCATTTCCTCATTAACCGATAGCCTTGGGGTATCGGTTAATGAGTTATAACTAACTAAGTTATAACTAAGATTTGCTTTTGTTGTTAATATACTATTTTAAAAGTTTTTTTATTGTTTTATTATAGCAAGGTTGCAGCCAAAGTTTTCATTAACCGATAGCTTCATCCAGTGGGTCCCATGTTTGAGAAGAGAGAAAAGTTTCAAGTAGAGTGGTATAACTTGGGATCAACTGAAGAGATAGTTCTATGATGTTTGATCATACAAAAAGTAAGGTGAATATTCAGCAGACAGCAACTCTATCAGAAAGTCCAAGAGAACAAAGAGAAGACAGCACATTGTTGGAGCCTTTGTAAAGAGTTTAGGTAACTGGTTCCAGAAACTAACTTTTTTTTTGAGAAAACTTTGAGAAGGAACCTTATGAAAAGAGTTACAAGATACAAAAAGAACCCTTGTGTCCTTAAGAGATGGGTTTTTTTTCTGCTCAGCCCTTTGATGATTGCCTATTCCAATTGGTCTCAGTTCCTCATCCATGCTTTTCAATTGGTTTCACCTGTTTCAAGGAGTAATTCGAGACCAACTTGGGCTATGAGAGAAGTTGACACTGATGTTAGACAGGAGACAGTTGATCTTAGGATGTACAGTACACATTAAACAAAAATATTTTATGTCTTTTAGGGTTTTTTCTTCTCTTTTCTATTCAAAAATTTTGCCTAAATTTTAATGAAAGGTTCAGATCTAGTTGAAGTCTCATACATCTTTTTTTTTCCCTTCTTCCTTTTTTTTTTTTTTTTTTTTTTTTGGAATTTATCTTTGTTAAATTTTTCTACCACTTTGAAATAAGTAATTCTGTTTAATAACTTATATATAACAAGAAATATAACTCTTGTTATACACTCCATACATAACAAGAGATAGAAAGTGAAGTATAAATGAGAAGAGTGAAAAAAAAAAAAAAAAAATAAGAGATGGAAGTTTCAAGATAAAGGATTTTAAATTAAAATTTTAATGGTGTTTTAAGTAAATCTTTTTTAAAAAGTGAATTTCTACAAAGGGAACTAGGACTGAAGAATGATCAGAAAAAAAAATCTGAAATGCATATCCAAAACAAAATTTACAGCTTTTTTTTATATAAGGATAAAATAACTTGAAATCCATTCACTGAATTCACCAAAAGTGTGGAGTTTTACTATTGAACATTAATTAGTTCAATAAAATTTCTTTTGTTTTACAAATTTTACATAATTCTTAAATTATTAACATAATCATCATATTACCATTAGACTGAAATCAAAAAAATATTTTAAAATATTCCATTGTATCTTCATATACTTTATTTCTTCTAAAAGTATCTGCTACAAATTAAAAAAAATGTATTGAAAATGAACATTCTTTGTCAATAGTTGTGAATAATCCCCATTTTCACTTTCATCAAAAAATTTATCTTTTAGCCTCAATGTTTGTTAAAAACTGGATAAATTATTTTGTAACTTCCTTTTCTATATTTTCAAATTCATGATGAAAAGTTTAATAAAATTTTCCAATAAATTTTAATAATGAAAGATCTTTAAATAGTATACACTCAGAAATGTGCAGTAGGGGGTTTGTAAGAACCCATAATTCAAACTTCTAAAATGTCAGTGAGCCCTAAACCCTTTTGCCTTTTCAATGAGCCTTTAACCCTTTTAAGATTATCGTTTCCACGTAAATAAGAACAAAAGAGGAAGCGGGGGTCCTGGGGCAAAATGGACAGAAAATGAGTCACTCTGGGTGAAGATCCCGAAGAAAGCAGAAGGAAAAAGTGAGTGCTCGTGACCTGAAGTTAAGGTTAAGGATCGGCAAGAAAGAGGAAGAAAGAAAAGACACAGTTTCGAAAAAAAAAAAAAGGCCATAAGGACAACAAATAATCCAAGAGAAGAAGACAATTTTTCAATATCAAGAAGTAGCCGTACAGACTTTAGAGGAAAAGATATCAAGTTGGCACCATAATCCGAAAGTGTATATACGTACCAAAAGAAATCCTGGGTATTTCCATTCTCCCTACATTTTGTTTCCTTATCCATCTGTCCTGTACTCTTATTTTTCATTAGTTATAAGTTATATCTTATAATAGATATAAGTTAGACATAAGTTAGTTATGTAATTAGTTTTTTTTTTGTTATTTTGACGATTGTCACCTGTACGAACCTCGGCAATAGTAGAGGGCAAGCCTGTTCCTTTTTCTTTGTGTATAGAAGAAAGGCATAAAGTTTGTAAAGTTGGGATTCCGAAAAAAAGAAAGGAAACCTATGGACTATATTCATTAAAAAATTTTTTGTAGAATTAGTTTAGTCTTACCATCTGTCTTTAGAATAAAAAGAATGTAGAGAACATGTTTTAAACTGCATATTTAAATTAATAATAATTATTTAATCATCCTTTCATCTCCCAGGATAGAAAAAAAGTTACTTTCAAATATGTATCTAAAACAATTATTGGATTATTCTCTAAATGACAAAAAAAAAAAAAAAAAAGAAAAAGAAAATTGCTCATTTTCAATAATGGAAGTAAGATTTATATTAAATTATTCTCACAAATTACAGTTATGTAATATAATTTTGATTTGTTAGTAGTAGTTACCATGGCAATGTAAAACAGACAAATGAAAACATTATGGTGATATTCTTTTCTATTTATTTCTTCATTTTTGTATTTAATTTCTTGTTTATCATGATTTCCTAAAATGTAGTCTGATGAGAAATGCCACATTAATATTGACATTTAATATATAATAGGCAACTATCCTGTTGTTGATGGTAATTAGAAAATTACATTAGGTATTTGAGCCTATAGTACATTAAATATACTGGTTTGAATCCCATTTTTGACAACGTTTTTCAAACATATCAATATTTAATTAATTTGAGATTAATTTAACTATCTATTTTTATTATAAAATTCTTTCTTACAAATGATGAAAATTGAAAATTTGTCAATTCAATTAGACAATATGCCAAATTATCAAGCTATTTGAAGTAAGTTAATAATTACAAACTAACTAATTTGTCTAGAGGTAGGCAGTTATGACACCANCATAGTTAAATAAATTAAATTAAATAAATTGGCACTGGAAAATGTAGATTTGAAAAAAGTAGCCTACTTTTTTCAAATCTACATTTTACAGTGCCAATTTATTTAATTTAAAATACAGTAGAGCGTCGTTTATCCGAATCAATTGGGAACTGGGGTTGTTCAGATAACTTATTTTTCGGATAATCGATTATGTACGAAAAAATATATTAATTAAACTATCCCATGCTGAAATTTTTCTCCGTTGCATGTCGCTTCGTGTTGAATTTTCATTGATGTTAAGCTTAACGTAAACTTTTTAAAATAATAATCGTGGCTATTGTATCGTTAAAAATTATTTCTTTATTTACAAACAAAAAAATTATACTTCAGAAGTTAATCTAGTATCAAAAACATTCGATTCAGCACAACAGTCCTCAGAAAAACACCACACAAGTGCCAGTGCTGCCAGCTAAAACACACACCAACAAAAAATATTGGAGTAGCCAAAGATTGCAGTGCCAGAGCACTAGCAAAAATTTAAATTTGCCAACTGGAATTCTTTCAGATAACTGACATTTTGGATAACCGACTTTCGGATAAACGACGCTCTACTGTATATGCTTTTGATTTTAGTAGTGTCTTGTTCCTATATATTGCACTTTTCTTGAGCAATAATAACAATAACTATAGAGTCATGCTGGTCATCTATCTTACTCAGTTCTGGAGAAAAATTTTGAATTGAACATGATTTCCAGTTCAAATCAGAAGTTTGTATATAGTTAATCAGGGCCTCCTGCCCCTGAGCTTTCTATATCTGATCTTGATTTTCATCTATTA